ACGGCGCACGCGCACACCACCCCGCGGACAGCCCGCCCGCGAGGGGGCAGCACCACCGGCCGGGTGGTGAGCTGACCAAAGGACCGATCGAGGCTGGAGGAGAGTCTCATGCAGTCTCCGTTTATTGGTGTTTCAGACCCATGCAGCATCCGGCATACAAAAGGGGGAATCAGTTTGATATATATGTATGTATTAGGAATTCTCGATCCCCCCCCTCCCCGCCACTTAAAAAAAAAAGAACAACAGAAAAACAACCCCCAGCTAACTCCAAACTGTGTCGCAGCTAGGTCCCCGCCTCCCCCGCAGGGCCGTCGCTGTCGCGTTGCAGCAAATCTCCCTTGCTCTCTTGGAAAAGAAATAATAGAGCTCCCTGTCCCTCTCTGGCTCTACGGCTGGGAGCTTTGGTCCTTTTTTATTATTCTTTCCTTACAAAGACGTGAAAGACCTGAGCCCCACGCCTCTAGAAACACTGACTGGCGTTAAAAAGCCCAAGTGGGCGAGTCAACAAGATTGACCAGGGAAGAGTCAACTGCAGTGGCCCCCCTCCCCTCCCCTCCCCTCCCCTCCCCTGTTAGCTCGGAAGACTTACACCACCCTTGCACTTATCCCCAGACATGGCCTGGCTGCCTACTCTGGGACCCCTGAGGTACCGTAGTCCGGGGGGCGGCTGGGACTGGGTGGTCCCAGCAGAGAACAGTCGGAGCCCCCCCCAGGGGCAGGCGGGCTAGGAAGCCCTCTCCCGATCCCACCCAGAGCCTGATCAAAGTGCTGGAGTTTTTGCAGATTAAACGGTGGCAAGAGGGCTGAAGGGAAGATGCTGAGGGGAGGTGAGGAAGAGGAAGGAAGTGGGATGTGGAGAGGGAAGGGAATTTGAAAAAGGGGCAGAGAAAGGCATGAAGGGGCAAGATACCAAGACCTTGAAAGTTGGGTTGGGAGGGGGCGGCCGCCGAGGCACCCGCTGGAGTGCAGGGAGGCTGGAGAGACGCAGGGGTTGCTGAGAATCAGTCCGGGCAATGTTCAGGGAAGCTAGAGGGGATGCAGGCAGGACAGGGGTCTGGAAACAGTGCAGGGAGAAGGGAGGCCTCCGGTGGGCAGAGGAGTCTGGCAGGATGCAGGAGCAGGGAAGAAGCTGTAAACAAGGCCACTCGGGCTCCCTTGGTCCCTACGGGTGGGGGCCAGGGCCATCGTTTGGGCTCCCCCCAGGGGAGGGATGGGCCCAAGGCAGCTCCCAACAGGAAGAAAAGTCTTGGAATGCAGGGTAGAGCCCCTCACTTATACACTGTGGGAGAGGAGAAGGAGAGACAGAGAGACGTGGGGTGGGTGTGGGGGTAGAAACAAGGAAAGACAAAGGCAAAGTGGGGTGGACAGACAGGAGAAAGCAGGGGCAGGAGTTAGTAAGCGTCCCCTGCCAGCCCTTCCACTCCTCCCGGCCTGACCCCGGACCCCACTCACCGCCCAAGTTGATGACGCAGGAGGCGATGATGATGAGAACCCCCCCTACCAGCGCCACGATGCTTAAGAGCTTGGCCACACGGCCCAAACGCTGGGCCCCATCCACGTCCCCCTGCTGCAGGCTGTTCCGGGACTGGGGTGAGGGCGGGGACCGTGGGCCAAGTCAGGAGAAGCCCCGCCAGGCAGAGATCAGGTGAAGGTAGTCGTCCCGTGGAGTAGAGGAAGGCCAGGGGTGACGGGAGGAAAGAGGATTGGGGAGGCAGGCGGAGGAGGGCATGGGTCAGCAAAGGCAGGTAGAACCACGTGCCTTCACATCCCTCCCAACTGAATGGACAGGCCGGTAGTGTCTCAGAGGCTCAGTCGTGCCTGGGAGAGGCAAGCAGAGGCCGGTCATTGGGCAGGGGGTGGGCATCCATGCAGCGAAGGGAGGAAGGGAAGGCCAGGCCACTCCTGGGGTTCTGTCCCAGTGCTGGCAGGAAGCCTGGAGCGGGGTCCCCACAAGGCTCACCATGACGGCATAAGCGAAGGCCACGATGTTGACGGGCCACATGGGGCAGAAGCAGGACAGGATGGCGAGGATGATGTAGTCCCGAGGTTTCTGGGTGCCTTCACCCCCCTCCACCCCAGGCCCTGTCAGCTGGGAGCTGGGGTGGCGACTCAGGCTACCTCGGGGGGATCCCGGGTGTCCACCATGAGCCCTGCCTATTTTGTCCTCCTCAACCAGCTGCTGCAGCACGCGGGGGGGTGCCCCATTGACCGGGGGGCTTTTGGCTGAGGGTGATGAGTGAGGCTGGGGGGCTGGGCCCTCTTCCCCATCACCAGCTGGAAGGGGCACGACTGCCCCGTTCTCTTGCTTTTCTCCCATACTCTCCGTCAGAGCCTCAGGGCTGGGATTCTCCTGGGAAGAGGGCTCTGGTTGGAGGGCAGGCTTGGGGTCAGGCTGGGAACCCAGCTGGGGGTCTGGTTGAGGGTCTAACTGCGGGTCCTGTTGGGAGGCGGCTGCTTGAGCTGGCTCAGGAGGGGCATTGGGCTCTAACTGGGTGGGCCCCGGGCTAGTAGTGGCCTCTTTGCTTTCCTCCGATTTGGCTACCGGGGGTTGGCATGCTTCTTCCCGGCTAGGGCTGGCCTGGGTTTCTCCTCCTGGGGTGGAGCTGAGGTCTGTGGCCTGGGCTGTTTCTGGGGCTCCGGCTGGGGTCTCTGTCGTTTCCGAAGCCAGCCCGGCCTTAGGCTCCTTGGGCCCCAAGTCTACAGGAGCCCCAGTGGGCTCTAGTTCTGGCTGCTTGGCTCCTGGCTTGCCTGGGACCCCAGGTGGAACCTCGGGGTGGGGAGGGCCCATTCCAGTTTCTGGATGGTCAAGCCCTTCTCCCTGAGTCTGGGGACTTTCCGTGACCCCTTTTATCTCAGTGCCCTGGGAGCCGCTGGCTGCCATCTTGAGATTGGAGATGGGAACAGGCCCCCAGCAAATCCTGCAAGAGGAGGAGACAGGCTGGGTGTGAGGCGGGAAGGGCTGGCCGGGTCCCGGCTCTGCTCTCGCCTCTGGACCAGCCCTGGGCTGGCCTTGGGGAAGAGAAAAGTTGTAGTTTTCTTTGCCCTGGGGGTGGGGAAAGCCCTGGGGAGCCCGGGGAGGGGAGGATCAACCCTTTTGGACACCGGCATCTTCCTCCTGGTCTTTTCCTAGCCTCTCCCCAGCAGGATCCGGGCTTAGGTCCCGGTGGAGGCGCTGCACCCCCAAATCAACAAGCAGCGCAGAGAGATGCAGGGGCACTCCGACAGGCAGGCGACGGCGGCGAGGAGGAACCAACATTCATTCCTTTGCGGCCTCCCGCTCCTCCCAGGGGGCTCCCGGCGGAGGTACAGGTGTGCTAGTTGCGCGTCGGGGAGCGCAAGACCCCTCCGCCCCTCCCTGGGGAGTCCTGGCCAGCTCCCCCCAAGCCCCTTACCCCCAGCCCCTTAAGGCAGGGGTGGTGAGGCTCCAGGGTGGTCGGCACCTCCACCCAGCCCCTAGGCGCCGCAAGCCCAGCACCACCGCCCGCCAGGCATCCGCATTCCGGTGCAGCCCGCCAGAGGTCCACCGCCGGTCCGCGTCCACTCCTCCCCGCAACCTCAGTCAATCAGTCAGCCCCATCTCACCTCGACGCTGGCCTCCGGGCTCCCGGCGTCGCAGCAGCCGCAGCCCGGGAGGGAGCAGTCAGCAGCGAGCGAGCGAGGGAGGGAGGGAGGCGGCGGGTCTTCCCTCCCCTCCGGTCCCCTCCCCTGCGCTCCGCGCCGCGCCCCGCCCCCGCCCCTCGCAGGCCTCCCGCCCCTCCCAGACGGCCCTAGGGAGCCACGCGTGCCTAGTCCCGCGTTGCCGGGACAACCAGCCGGGGGACCACTCAGACCCCCTCCCTGCCCCTTCCCACGCGCGCCTCCGGGGGTGTCCCTTTGCCAAAGCCCCCGGCCCCTCCCGCTAACGGTCATCAGGGGCCGGGGCTGGAGAAGGCTCTGTGAGGAGCAGCGAGACCCCGTTGGAGTTACCTCCGTGGGCAGAGAGGAAGGGAGATGGGGCACATTTGGGGCGGCTGCAGGGGAGCATGGCGGGAGGTTCAGGAGCCCCTTCCCCTGGCAAGGGCGCAGTAGCAGAAACGGGCACCGGGCTCAGGAAGGGGCCAAGCACAGTGGGCAGGCAAGCCCTGGCATTAGGGACGGCCCTGCAGGTGTGTGTGTGTGGGGGGGTGACTGGCAGAGCCGCAGCACAAACGGGGCTGATAGGCGGCTTAGACCCTGCCCTGACTGAGCGCGGCCAGAGGGTACAAGTGCAAGCCTCCAAGCTCCCCGGCCTCGCTGCGTTACCAACACCCACCACCTTCCAGTGCCTTGAGGGTGTGCAGGTATTTTTGGCTAGACTGACTACAGTCCATGGGTGTGGATGAAGTCTCCATCCCACAGCTGTCTGGGTTTCTCGCCAAGGCCTCTTCAAACCTCCGGTGGCTATTCTGGGCCTATCAGGATTAGGTATTCCCCAGAGAGCTGGGAGCCCAGGAACCTACACTTAACCCGCTGGCCGGGCCCCACCCTGGTTGGAGCCAGTGGGTGCCTCCGGTGAGGAGGGAGGATCCAGGAGCTGAGGGCAGGCCACTGTGGAAATCCCTGGGGCTTAGTGCGAGCAGTTCATTCAACAGAAACAGAGGCAGGTTTTTATTTAAAATTTATTGTAATGGGGTCCGCGCAAAGGGAAGAAGGGAGGAGGGTGGGGAACATGCAGGGACACAGGGACACGGTGGTTGACATGGCCAGGGCCACAGCTTCTTAAGTGGGGAGGAGGGATGAAAAAAAAAAACGGAAAAAAATTTTTTTAAAAAGGCCAGGGCTGGAGCTGGTGGGGGGGAAGTGGGAAAGGGGGTGTGTGTGTCACTGGACTGTCTCCCCCCATTCCCAGGAGGCACCTCTAGTCCCTGGGTCCCCCACCCCTTTGCCCTGCCCCCTAAAATTTCATCTTTTGCTCTGCCTCTGGCCCTAGTGACTCCTTCCTTTGCACCCCTGGACGTTCTCTCCCTGACCGATTTCAAGTGCCGGGACTGTGCAGGGCCTGCGGCCCCAACAGCTGCTGACAGAGGTACACATCTGTCTCTTTGCCTCCCATTTCTGTCCCGGCTCACAGCTTGCCTAGTTCCATCTGGGGCAGAACCTGGCTCTTCTCCTTTCCCTCCTCCCTCCCCCTGGGGAAAAAGAAAAAGGAATAACCAAAAAAAGAGGAGGGGGAAAAAAAAGGACCAACTCCCCAGGGAAGGGCATTAGACGCAGGAAGGGAAGGAAGTAGGGGAGCAGTAAGGGCCCTTGAGGGACAAGGCGCTCAAATCTGGAGGCAGGGCATTACAGAGAGAGGTGAGGTAAGGGCAGTGGCCACTCCTGCCCTTGGCCACCCCCTGCCCACTGTCCAAGGGACTGCAACACAACCCAGGGGACAAACGTGTGTGGGGGGGTCAGGTCTGACGGAGGGGGTGGGGGGAGAGGGACAGAAGAAACAAATCATTGAAACCTAGTGAATTCCCCTAAGAAAACAGGGTTTCCTCCTTTCCTTCCGGAGGTTCCTCGGTTGGTGGGGGAAGTGGCGAGGAGTTGGCAGGAAGAAGGGGGGAGGAGGAGAGGGCACCAAGGGAGTTTCCTCCACTCTCCCCCGCCCCCAACTGACGGGGAGCTCACCAGGGCTGGGAGGGAAGTGGCTGAGCGCTCACAGGCACCCCCTCAGGCCCTGAGAGGGAGCCCACGGCCGTAGGAGGGGCTGCCACTGCTGCTGCCGCTGCAGCCGCCGCCGCCGCCGCCATTGGACAGACCTCACCAGTACCTGCAGTGAGAAACCAAACGCCAAGGTGTCCGGTGGGATCTGATTGGCAGGAGCCTTGCTCCTTGCCCTAGACTCTCTCTGACTCCCTCCCCTGGGACACAGCCGTTGCTCACTTCCTGTTTGGTCCCCAGAGGCTCTGGCCTGCATCCTCACCCAGACAAGGCAGCTCTCCTGGAGGTCCTCCTGCCCCAGAAGTCTCCCTAACCTGGGTGGTGGATGGGTCTCCCTGGCCTTCCTGCGATCCCCTAGTGGGCCCTTTCAGCCCCCTTGTCCCACTCACTCCATCCCGCCCCCCCCAGCCATGCCCAACGCCTTGCCTGGTGGGTGCAGGGGTCCCCCTCAGCAGGTGGGCTGTGGCTGGGGGGCGTCTCCCGGGATAGGGGGGGCGGCCCCCCCCAGATGGGTCTGCATGTGGCCGGCCAGCTGGGCAGGGGTCTTGCAGTGCACGCTGCACAGCTTGCACAGGATGCGGTCAGCCCGCGGGGCCTGGAGCCCATGGTCCTTCACCGCGTGGATGCGCAGGTATGCTGCTGTGGTGAAGCCTACGGGGTGGGGGTGGGTGGGGTGGGGGTGGATGGGGGTCAGCCAGGTGGAGACCCCAGAGACGGGGCTGTTCTCCTAGGCTGGGGACACCCTTCTCAGATGGCCCTGTCCTCCTCCCACCACATCCTTACTAGCCTGGGGCCAACTATTCTGCTGGGGCAGGTGGGGCAGAGCCCCCACGCCTGGGGCTTGGGGGTCAGTGGTGCTGGCTTCCCCACCTTGGTGCCCAGAGCCCATTCTCTGTGGCTGAGAGCTTTCTCCTGGTGTGACAGGGCTCTGATTCCTAGCCACTTGTGGGGGGCTACCCCTCAGCAGAGACGGCTGTGTCCCCTTTTCTCCAGTGTCCCCCTATGGTCCAGTTACCCATCAAGCTCTTTATGGACGCTCCCGCGGCAAGGCTCAAGCCCCGCCAATGTCCTCCATCGGTCCTAGAGGCTGGAGAGCAGAACTCGTGGCTGCATCACGGAAACCTTGTCTGTCCAACTCTGGGGGGCTGGCGCCTTTGACCACTCCCTCCCGAAGCAGCTGTGTCCCATTAAGCGACCTGTCCCCCACCCTCTGGTGATGGACCCCAGCCACGACCAATGGTGATGTTTTTTTTTTCCAGGCTCCAGCTGACTCCACAAGCTACAGTACCCTAGGCCACATCTCCAAGAGGCCCCCCCTCCCGTAGGCATCGCCCAGCACTTACCTTTGTTGCAGAGCTCACAGACGTGGTGGGGGCCCTGGCTGTGCACCTTCATGTGGTCCGAGATATATGCCGAGCTCAGCATCTTGCCACACACGTGACAGGGCACCTTCTCCTCGTGTCGTACAGTGTGTGCCCGGAGTCGATCCTTCGTGGCAAAAGCTGCCTCACATTTCTGGGGAGGGGGGAGGGGCGTGGGGGGATGTCACAGGAGAGTTAAAGCTTGGGGAAGGGGGGCAAGAGGTTAAAGGCATCAGAGCCGTGGGGGTCTTTGATCTGTAGGAAATGGGGGTGAGATGGAGAGGCCTTGAAGGGGTGAGAAAATGGAGTGAAAAGGCAAAAAGGAGAGAGAGAAAAAGGGGGTCTGAGAGGCCGAACTCAGGCACTACAATGGGGTCAACATCGTGAAAGCCAAGACGGGAGTGGGGGCTGCCTACCTCACACTTGAACGGCCGTTCTGTTGAGTGCACTTGTCTGACGTGACTGTTGAGGTGATCAGGCCTGGGGACATGTTGGGGGGGGGGTTTAGGGCTTGGGGGTCTCCAGGGACAGAAAGCGCCCCAAACCTTCCAATCTACTTCCAGCGCTTCTTCCAAAGGCTCCTGGCGGGGCGTCTTGGGAGCCCAAGGATGGGCAGGAAGCCCCTGGGCTCTCAAGGGCGTCCACCTCCTCCCCCTTCCCCCTGGAAGCTTTCCTTCCACCCAAGGGCCCACCTCCTGGGCTAAGTCCCACCCCCTGGCTCCGGGCAACCCGGAGCGGCCTTCCCCCCTGCTCCCGGGGAGTGGCTCCGGGTGGGTCGGTTCCCAGCTCCGCGGCCCGCCCCTCCCTCCCGGCCTAGTGGGCGGCCGCCGCCCCGTGCCCACCGGGAGAAGCTCTTGCCACAGTGGGAGCAGTTGTAGGGCTTGTGCACAGCGCCGTCATGTGAGCGCACGTGGTAGCTCATGCGGTCCTTGCGCTTGAAGCGCTGCTGGCACACCGGGCACTGGTAGGGCTTCTCGTCCGAGTGCGACAGCTTGTGTCGGTTCAGGTGGTACACGTCGCGGAAGGCCTTGCCGCACATCTCGCAGGCGTGGTTCTTCCGGATGCGCTTTCCCGAGGCCGTGGTGGTCACCACGCCGCCGGCGGCCACCGTGGCCGCTCCCGCGCCGGCGCCCGCCTCGCCCCCTCCCCCGCCGGCGCCGCTCAGCTGGGGCACGCTCAGCAGGCTCAGGGGCACCATGGTGGGCATCTTCATCGCGCCCGCGGGCACGCGGCCGGCCTTGGCTCCCGTGTGGATGGCCTCGTGCCTGCGGAGGTTGTAGCCGTTCTTGAACTCCTTGGCGCACAGGGCGCAGATGTAGGGCCCCTTGCTCTTTGTCTTCTTCTCCAGGGCAGACACGATGGGGGCCACGGCGACCG